TCCCTAATGTTTTTTCTTTGGATTTGCCTATTCATTCCCAATGTCCCCCATAGCTTTCAGCCAATTGACGTAAGCCGTATCCAAAATTTTATGGTTCAGAGGCCGTTTATTTCGGGAGGATTCAGGAAAGACCTTGCAAGGTATAACCTGACCTATAGGGTGGGGGGGGGGTTGATTAATCCGACGTTGGCATTATATCAACCAGCACCGAGGAGAAAACATTAGGCGAATATCAGGAAACCACACCCAAATTGGCAAACATTGGAAACCTGTCACCTGCACTTGGCCTCTTACAGCGGGGCTGTAAGAGCCCGCAACAGCAACACAACACGTCTGGGGCCGCGATTCAGCCACCATGACATGTGAAGACCTAACCCAAACCGAAAACGGTTCACCTCCAATGTTGATCCAAATCAAAGAATTATGGTCGAACATTTAATTGTGTGCGTTTATCAATGAACCAAAAACATTTGAATAGATAATAGCGGATCATAACCTATGATATGTTCCAAAATGATTGAAAAACTGCCTCAAACTCTCTTAATCTATCTGTTCGATCTATTTATCTATCACTATCTATCCATCCATCCATGCATCTATCAAAGTCAAGGGAAGTCTTGCGAAGTCGGAAGTCTATCGAAGTCTATGGAAATCTATCCGTCCATCGATCCATCCATCCATCTATCCATCGATCCATCATGATCCATCATGATCCATCTATCTTATCTATCTTATCTATCTTATCTATCTTATCTAATCTAATCTAATCTAATCTAATCTATCTATCTATCTATCTATAAATCAATCTACCTATCTACCTATCTACCTATCTACCTATCTACCTATCTACCTATCTACCTATCTACCTATCTACCTATCTACCTATCTATCTATCTATCTATCTATTTAGTTTGTTGTGTATTTTGTTTTTTTTCTATCCATCTGTATGTCTTTCTGTATGTCTGTATTCGATTGCTCTTTATTCCTTTATTTCCGTGCTTTTCTTTCTTTCTTTCGTTATTTCTTTATTTCCTTCTCTATTTCTATATTTCTATCGATCTATCTATCTATATTTCTATCTATCTATCTATCTACCTACCTATCTATCTATTTATCTATCTATCTATCTATGCATCCATGTATCTATGTATCTATCTCTCTATCTATCTTTCTATTCAATTATCTGTATATTTATCTATCTATCTATCGATCTATCAATCAATCTATCAATCTATCAATCTATCTATCTATCTATCTATCTATCTAATCAATCTAATCTATCGATCTATCTATCAATCTATCAATCTATCTATCTATCGATCTATCTATCTATCGATCTATCTAATCTATCTATCTATCTATCTATTTATCTATCTATCAATCTATCTATCTATCTATCTACCTATCTATCTATCTATCTAACTATCTATCTATCTATCTACCTATCTATCTATATGTCTATCTGTCAATCTATGTATCTATCTATCTATTTATCTATCTATCTATCCATCTATAAATCTATCTGTCTATTTATCGGTCTATCTATCTGTCTATCTATATGTCCATACATTTATTGATCTATCTATCTGTATATATTTACATCCGAGAATTTCTATATGAATGAATTTATACATCGGTCTTATCTTTCTTATCTATCGATCGATCTATCTACCTAATCCAATCTATATAATCTAATCAAATCGAAACAAATCAAATAGAATCTAATCGAAGTTTGTCTGTCTATCTATCTATCTATCTATTTATCTATCTATCAATCTATCTATCTATCTACCTATCTATCTATCAATCTATCTATCTATCGATCTATCTACCTACCTACCTATCTATCTATCTATTTATTTATCTATCTATCTATCTATCTATGTACCTATCTATCTATCTATCTACCTATCTATCTATCAATCTATCTATCTATCGATCTATCTACCTACCTACCTACCTATCTATCTATCTATCTATTTATTTATCTATCTATCTATCTATCTATGTACCTATCTATCTATCTACCTATCTATCTATCTATCTAAGTGTAGGTACCTGCCTACCTATCTACCTGTCTGCCCTGATGGACCTTTCTACCACTCTATACCTCCCTCATCCTTTCTCTCCAATCGATTGCATCCGGTTGTGTTGAGGTATATATATATTTATTTATCTCTTGGACCTGAACATTGTAGTGACATATCTATCTAGACCAAACATGCAATATCATGCAATCACGGGCAGCTCCAGAAAATCCGCTTCTTTGCCGACAGCTGAGTATTGTGTAAATGAAATGCATGGTAAACCCGTCAGTCTCAGAAAACAAAGTATATGGCTCTAATTCATTGAGCCATTGGATGGTTGGGTGCTGAAACTAGTTCAAATCTCTGGAAGTGACCCTTGCGACGTCGTCTCCCTTGCCACTCCACTATGCTGTGCTGTGCCTTTGAGGGGTTGCACCGAAGAGACGTTCGAACGGCAGGGTGCTTAGCAGGGGGGAACATCAAGCCACGCCATCGCACAGCTCGATGCACAAAAGCGCGGTTTGTACCACCGGCTGGACTGTGCAGAACAGCAAATGACAGGCAAATGAAGGTCAGATTAAGTAATCAAACCACAAACATCCATAGGGGATTACCTCTGTATATGATTGTATATGCATATCTGGTTGGTGGTTTCAACCCCTCTGAAAAATATGAAAGTCAGTTGGGATGATGAATCCCAATATATGGAAGGAAAATGTTCCAAATCACCAATAGGATATATTGATTATATTGTTATTCCCATTATTAACATTTATTAACCATAGATTAACCATTGGTTGTTCCCTTTTGCAGTGACTCGTCCTTCGTATTAAAAACACCTGTGTGTTAAACACCTGTTGCCGCCTTTTCGGCAAAGCCTGCAAACTAATCTACCGCTTCAAATCTGGGGATCACACCTTTTTATGCATGCTCGGGAGATTCGTTTAACACGCACAGGAAATCGTTCAAACATGTTGAGCAAAATAATGGTCACCGGTAAATTTAGTTTCCAGCTGTGGAACTACTGGATGATTTTCAGTTCCACCCGAGATTCCAATGGAAAAAAAGGAATAGCTAAACAAGGCTGTGGCCCCACATGTATCCGAATGTTCCGTCTGTCGATTTGCCACCAATCTAACGACATCGTTACGATACCCACCATAGAAAACAGCGACAGTTTTACACCAGCTTTGCACTTAGCGAATGAACGACCTGGGGCGCCGCAGTTGGGATCCTGTCATTTGGCGCTGGGCGCAGTTGGACGATCCAAAGGGTCCAGCCACTGCTGTAATTCTTCTCTGAATGGCCATGGGGGGTGTACTGTCGGCCCAGTTTCAAACAAATACCGCAGTATATATATATATGTGTGTGTTTATGTATGTATGTAATTATATATGTAGGTAGGTAGGTAGGTAAGTAAGTAAATAAGTAAGCATCTACGTATTCATGTATGCATGCATGCATGCATGCATGGATGGATGGAAGGATGGATGGATGTATACCCCGCTTGGTTAAAGAACTTGATTTACAATTACCAGTTTCCAGTGACAATCTCCGCTGTTAAAATTGGACATTGCTGCAAGAACGGTCCGCGACTTGAATGACAATGAAGTTTGAACCCAACACAGCATGTATTTTGATGTTTATTCCAATGTTATTCCTGTTGGACGTGGAGACCCACCGGGTTCCAGGTCAATTGCAAATGCCAGACTGCATCGTGACCCTTGAACCATCCGTATCAGAGGCTTCTTACAACTCATAAGCAAACATCCCAAACAATATTGTAATTGGTTTGATCCACCAATACCAATCCTTTTGCAGGAAACAGTTTCACTGTCGACCGAGTAATATAATATAATATAATATAACATTCAAAAAATCCAGTCTTTCCGCCAGTTTGAAACAACGGAATCTTCAAAACACGCAACAAAATTGGTGAACCTACTGTGGATGGGCCAGCGAAATCCTCACCAAACGGATGGTTGAAACCCATCCTATTAACCCACGGATTAACCCACATTTTACCACCTATTAACCCATTAAGCCATGGGATGTTTACCACCTAACCCACAACAGACCGATTCGCAACACCTTGGGTCGGGCCTCTGGCGGGGCGGCCAGACTGTTCCGGAAGATCAACGCAGAATCGCAGGATCCAAGGATATCCAAGGCGTCGCAGTGGCAAGGTATGCATATGTGTAGTCATATATACACACACACATATATATATACATATGTATGTTCATATAGTAGTATATTACAGCGTTATATATATATTAACACACCTATATATATATAATATTGTTTCAAGTCATAAACCAAATAATGTATATTATATATCGGGATATGAAAATATATATAAAAATATGCTAAATTACATGAAAATAAAACAAATAAATAAACATACAATATTAATTCATATTATTTGTTTCAATAAAAACATATTTAATACATTAAACACTATATTATATTATATTATATTGTTTTATATTAAATGTGTATATATAATTATATATATATGTACTATGTGTGTGTATCTCCGTCTATGCACCAATCTGTCGTCTATATCTACCTATCTAAGTATCTATCTATCTAACCTAATCTAATCCAATCTATCAAACTAGTTTTCTCATTTTTCCTTTGAGAAACAACACAATCTATATTCCATTGCTATGAATCAATCGATCAATCTATGGTGTGCAATTATCTCCCAATATATCAACAAAATCACTCTCTTTCTCTCTATATATCTGCGCTTGTATGGCTAAAATTAAATAATACAATTTCAATGGCGTGCACAGCACAGAAAGCATTGCTGAATTCAGCGGTCTAGCGGGCTACAATGTGCCATGTGTGTCCAACTTTAAAGCAGATCACATCATACCACAGATATGCGTCTAAAACAACAGCTGCGACGTTCAAGATGTCTGCATTGTGGTGGGCTAAAAAAAACCCTCTCCGGGTGACGCCAATGGCGAATGAATTTAAGCCCAAACCTTGGTGGTTGGTGCTTAATTAAGCCCCAAAAATTGCCTCATGTGGGGTCACCTTCAAGGGTTGAGTTCCCACAGAACAACTCACTGAACTCACTTTACAGCGGCATCGCGCGGCGCCTCCTGAGGTCAGAGATCAGCGACAGCAACAACAAGAAGAAAGAACAACAAAAAAACAAGAAAAACAATGAAAAACACAAAGCACTGGCACGGTCTTTTTCTAACAGTTAGTCCTATAACCTAACAACCTTAGTTTGCAAACCAAAAATTTGAACTGTGTACAGTAACACAGCAAAACACCGCGCACAGGAAGCTGCCTTGCCACGGTGTTTACCCCATCACAAGAAGCGAAAGTCACTGCAGGTCCCGGCCTGCAAATTGGAACAGCATGCCATGACATGCGTAACTAAATGAAGTCTCTAAGCCAAGGCGATGTCATTGCTTTTTGCTTTTCCAAAGGCACATCCTTTCAAAGCAAGCAAGCGCTTTGGCACTAACACTAGCTGCTGGCACATGTTGACCCCAAAGAAGCAGCCAGCAAGCAATCCAGCAAACCTAGTTTATATTCAAGGGGCTGTGCATGTATGTTGAACATGAACTGGGGTACCCTTGAACTAAGGGCAGCAGCAATTTCATATAATTACGCCGGAACGATAATGTAAGTTGGTACCATCGGCATTCCTTTTAGTAAAAAAAACACGTGAAATAACAGATCTTCACTCATGCATGGTGAGTCAATACAGGCCCTTGGAGACTTCCTCCAACGGAACACCGCTGAGAATCAGAGATGTGCCCGCGACGAGTAAACCCAGCCACCCACCCAGTACATTCCATTCTTAATGGCACCATGTTGCACAATCTCCCGACTTCTGTTGATCAAATGCCTTTATATATATATATAGAATTATATAGAGATAGATAGATATGAGTGTGTGTGTGTGTTCTTTTTGGACTCTTTGCTGACATCTCTGCCACTTTTTGCTGCCAAAAACAAAGCTTTGCGGATTCCTAGCTTATAGCATCTTGTAAATAATTAGTTACTTTTCCATTTTGTTTCCGGGTTAGCTTTTTTTAACATCCATCGCAACAATGTTAGTCGATATTACTGATTTGGGATCATCATCATCATCTTCTTCTTCATCATCATCGTCATCCAAATAGGTTAGACATAAAAATCTGTTTGAAATCACCCGCAACTATCATCACTGTTTTGTTTACTCATGTTTATGATATACATTGATATCCCCATTTTAGGTCATTTATTATCATATTACATGGTTAAAACATGTTCAATTCCAAACATGTTTGCTTCAAACCCATCCAACCTGGGGATATCAGCGCATCGCATCGCAGCACCTGTTTGTCTCATCTGCGATGCCAGCGGCCCAACAGCAGGCCGACCAGCAAAGCAGACCTGGTCCCCCGGCCCCGGCGGTTGGCGGGGCCGGGATGGTAACTGGAGACTATCTAGATGGCTATGGGATGGCTATGGTTTATACATTTTGATAATATTTTATAACTATATAGTATTCCTAGGGTTTATGGTATATCTCTAGGTGGGGGTTGTGAACAATCTTACAACTGGTGATTTGTATAACCAACAATCATGGGGATTAAAGCTGGTTTAACTACCCATCCAAGGTTAACCTGCTGGTTTATAACAAGTATACCTAGGGTTTATGTTGTATGTATTTATATATATATAGTTAATGTCGGTTATGAACCCACTTATAATCGGGGGGGGGCATCTTGTATGGGCCCAAAATGGTACCAATGGATCCGCAAAATCGATCCTAAAAATAGGATCTACATAGGATCTAGAACTATCCGTTTGACAGGATTATATAATCACTTCATGCTTTGGAATCAGTTTGACACTCCCAGACATTCTGAATAGCCAAAAAAAAAGTTGAAAGCGGAAATCACGATCGCCCATGGCGTTCTTGGCGCAGCCCATCTCATTGCAACGGAAGTGAAGAGGTACAAATATCTCAGTCACCGTCGAAAGACATGACATGGTCAACACCTCTCAAATTTAACATAGCTATTGAAAATGGCCATTCATAGTGAGTTTTCCCATAAAAATGGTGATTTTCCATAATTATGTAAACGTTTACCGCAGCCTATACAGCAATCAGGTCATGGTGATGACACGACACCGGGACCTTGATGGAACACCTGGGAGTCTATGCATCGTACCTTTGAGTAACCAAGATCTTTTGGAGTGAACCCCCAATTGCTCCTTAAGTACCTTGAATGACTCAACCAGGGTATTAGTATATTATCACATATTATATGCGTTGGCAATGGTCCGATTCTCATTCTCCCCCATAATACATAACAATTCATAACATTTCATGACACTCCGGAGTTGGGTCTCATCATTAGGGGCACCAAAAAAAGGCAAATCATAAGCCCACAACAAATGGAACTTCCGAGCTTCCCATTGATCTTCACAAAAAGGATCTCCCTCGCTCCCAGGAGTGTCACGATAATCATCCGAAAGGTTCCCGGTATGAAGACAGTCAGCAGAACAACGCCACCATAGACATTCATTATGTCATAGACACACTATTCTGTAGCAAACACAATGATAAAGCATCCCAGTAACCAACCATAGAAGGGTGTCAGTGCATATCATCCCAAATCAATGAAACAGGGGGGCACCCAACTTCATAAACCTCAAACTTGGGGATGGTTTATGCCATTGGGACTATCTTGTTCGCCATAGAAACATAGAGGCTAAGCGTATTTAACACCATTACCCATATTACCCTATAACAATATCCCCTTAGACACCATAGACATTCATAGACTATAGAACCATAGGGAAACACACAAACACAGAACAATGAAAACATCCCTCATTTCTACCGGGGACCAGGGCACATGGTGGAAACGATCAGTGGCAGCTGTGGCCAAGAGCTGGCCACATCCACTTTGTCTGTGGATGGGCTGTCATCGCTGTCCACCAAAAAGACGTAATCGTCCTGCAAAGTGGTGCCCCAATTTAAGTTAGCTATTTAAGTTAAGTTTATAACATTTTATAAGATATACACATAATATAATTATATATTATATTTATATATTAGCTAATTTCAAGAGGAATGCTCTATCGGCCTTTTAGACGTATAGGGTTTGTGTGGGTACGGTACATAGGGTAAATGAGATGGGTACGGCTAGGGTACGGGTAGGGTACGGGTAGGGTACGGTACGGGCACGGTAAAGATACTGTATACCGTACCCATACCGTACGTGTACCGTACCCGTGCCGTACCCGTACCGCACCCGCACCCCTACCCGCACCCGAACCGGTACCAACTGTCCCATACCTGTTTAAACTCCTCAGCAAGAACCCCTTCGCACCCCACGTCATGAAACTAATAGAAAATATGGTTTTCATTGCTTTTCAATTTAGTTAATGTGTATATATATATATATGTGTGTGTGTGAAATACAGTAACTAGGGTTTGAAGTGATCATTGGTCGATGGCAATAAACAATCTTTGATAGATATTGATATTAATAGATGGGAATCAACCAACTAATAACGGTTGGTACCGCGAATCTCCACAGCTTCTTCAACGACCAAGAGGGAGGGTTCATATATGGTTTGAAGGTAGATGGATCACACCTGAAACCATGGCTTTGGAAAATTCATTTGTTGCATTCTGTTGCTGAACTTATCGTTGGGTAAAATGGACCAACATGAGCTCACCAAGCGATTCACCACTCCGTTCGGCTCCCTGTCGTTTTTTTGCCTTCAGAGTGAACGCCAAAGGGGCCAAAGACCTGAAGAGCCCTGACGCTGTCCTCGGAATCGCTCGAACTTCCAGGGAAGAAACTCACGTTGGGATTCTCCTGGCGCGAAATCGCACCGTCTAGCTATCTTCGAGCGACAAAACAGCTATAAAACCTGTGTCAACATATATGAACGTATGTATGTGTATAATACGTGGACACACACACATATATATAGTTTTAAATATAACTATATAATTATATATATAATAAATATTAATATTCTGTGTATACATATATATATATAATGTGATATTATAAATATATGTATATATATATATAGCAATTATGACCAGCTGCCATCTTTAATTATATACTATGTTTGTGTCCAATTTCATGTCCAACTCTTCACGTCCGGATCCTCAAAGGTGACAGATCTGGAGGATGGACGTGACGTGCCACAGGCCGACACCTCCCGGGACTCGTCATCCGAGCGACTGCATTCACGCCTGGCGAGTCCAAATCACCCAAAGACAGAAGATAATTGCAGTTGTGGCCCCGTAGCAGTTATGTTTATGGTTACAAATGGGGTTATCATTCCATCTCATATTATTATCATTCCAGCAATGTGTTTTGTCCCCTCACTGACTTATATCAAACTGGTAAAGGATGGTAACTGGCCATCACTGCGAGGGAAGCTATGTCAAAAGAGCTCATCTTAAGATGTGTTTGTCATTACATGGCCAATTTTTAGATGACCTGCGAACAATCGAAGAACGACTTAAGAGTTGTAGCTGATAGCTTTTTTTTGGGGTAATGTTGTTAAGTCAATAATAATCCATGCCATTCATTAACACATTGGGGGGTATACCTCATAAACCCCACTCGGGGATGGTTCTTGGCATTGGGTAAAAATCTCAAGTCTTTGGCCAACAAAAGTGCCTCAGAATACCAAGGTTGACCCGGAAACTATCACTGTTTCCAAGGAAATACCAAGGAAAAACGATCCGTATCTAAGTAGGAAGCTGCATCATGTAAAGCACGCAAGCTTGAGAAGCTCTTAGGGACCACACATGTTGTGGTCATGCTCGGTTCAAACCATCCGTATACTGTTTGGGGTCCCTCTATGTCCCCCTTAGAGTGAACAATTGCAAAGAACAATTATATATATATATATACATGTCTGATCATGTTTGCAATTGTCTTTAAATAATCAAATTCGAGAAACAAAAACAAAACACTATACAGTCTTCACGGAGACTTCACGAGACTTCCATAAATGTCTCATCGCCAGGCGCATCTGAGTTGATCCGTCAAGGATTCCCAAAGAGAGAACAAGTACCGCTAACGGATTTGATGATTCAGTCAGGGGGTACTTGGAGAAGTGATTAGAAATACTACACGCCTCACACACACATCTATCTATCTATCTATCTATCTATCTATCTATCTATCTATCTATCTATGTGTATATATAATATGTACATATGTATCCAAACATGCCCACTTCAACCAATCGGGCTTTATCACTCCGAGGTTGAAATATCACTCCGAGGTTGAAATATGTTGACATTGCAGTACCCCTCTGATAATCAAACATGGCAAGCTGGAAAATCTGATTTCCACATTGAAATCTCGGCTAGCCATGTTGGATTGACGGTGTACCCCACAGCCAGGAAGTCGGCAAAGGCCCGAACTGCAGCCCCGACTGTTGACTCTTGAAACTCCCCGAAGATTCATGCCTCAGAGGCAGAAAGGACCTGAATCCAACAGCTTTGACCGCAGAAAACGGGAGTTGACCATGGTTCACCAAAGCATCTACCAACATACCCCTTCAAAAACCAATTTGGCCGAGTTGGTTTGTTACAGAGAAACCAACATCAATCATCTGTGGCATCTTCCTACAAATCGAGGTTCTGGTCCAGCTTCAATGCAGGTTCTTTTTGTATAATAAATGCCTATACGTTGCATCTACCTTATGCTATCCTTCTCGGTGCGTCCGCCAATGGCATAGCCACCATGTTGCTTAAGGACCATCATCTCTGCCTCACGTCTTGAGTCCTGACCCAGATGAGTATGGCTCAGGGACTCAGGTGCTGCAAGCTCATGGCAGTCATCTAGACCCGTTGCTGATTGGGAACAGAACATTGCAGTGAAATCATTCAGCACCTTTTGGTGATCCACTGACTTGATGCAGCATCATGAAATAATTCCATAATTTTGGATACTGATTTGTGGATAGGTTCGCTATTGTGGCATTTTTCCAAGTTATTCTGAACCCATGCATTGTTTGGAAGGTTCACTATTGTGGCAAGAAATCTTGGGGTGTCATTTTTTTGTCCAAAAAAATGTTTGTTTCAAAACCATCGAAACTGGTTTCTGAAAAAATCTTGCTTTTCCCCCTGTCCCAAAAAAATCAGGCCGCTTATTAGACCCTGATTAAAGAACAGTTTTTCCACACATTTCCAAGGCACTGGGCCATGAGAGGGTCCAATTCACTTTGGTAGGTTTGTTCTCAGGGTTCACAATTGCAGCAAGCTGTTCCAGAGCTGATCCTGGAGCCAAGAGAAGAAAGGTAGGCCTTTTCCACGAGCAATTGCCAAATTCAAAGTCCAAACCTTTCCCAAAAGAATCAGGCCGCTTATTAGAACCTTATTAAAGAACAGTTTTTCCACAAATTTCCAAGGCACTGGACCATGAGAGGGTCCAATTCACTTTAGTAGGTTTGTTCTCAGGGTTCACAATTGCAGCAAGCTGTTCCAGAGCTGATCCTGGAGCCAAGAGAAGAAAGGTAGGCCTTTTCCACAAGCAATTGCCAAATTCAAAGCCCAAACCTTTCCCAAAAGAATCAGACCTCTCATTAGAACCTTATTAAAGAACAGTGTTTCCACAAATTTCCAAGGCACTGGTCCATGAGAGGGTCCAATTCACTTTAGTAGGTTTGCTCTCAGGGTTCACAATTGCAGCAAACTTTTCCAAAGCTGATCCTGAGTTCATCTTCCTCTGCCTCTTTCCCTTCCTCTTCCTCTTCCTCGTCCTCTTCTTGTTTCTCTTCTTCTTCCTCTTCCTCCTCTTCCTCTTCCTCTTCCTTTTCCTCTCTCTCTCTCTCTCTCTTTCTCTTTCTCTTTATCTTTATCTTTCTCTTTCTCTCTTTCCCTTTCTCTTTGCATTTTTCTTTCTCTTATGACACTTGGAATCAAAAACTTAAAGTGGAAAAAGTAACGCAGTCAACATGTTGAATCCCACTCACTACAAGGTACTACAAGTACTACAATGTACTACAAGCACTACAAGTACTACAGATACTACAAGTACTACAAGTTCATCGGCAAAAAAAGTTTAAATTAGATTTCAATTGTAGCAAATTGAAATCCTTACTTAAGTGCGGATGTGTTTTTCCTGGGAAGAATTTTTTTGGCGCCCAACTTTAAAGAGGGTATAGCTATTGTTGAGGGGGGGGGGTTCACACTAATCAGGACGCAACATTGCTGAAAAACACATTAGACTCTCGCAAAACTTGAATTGTGACAGCCAATAGCTACTGTATCCAATCCTCACGTTGCTTAAGCTCCGCAAATACCATGGGTGCGTCTGAAAAAAGGGTTCTCCTGAATTCACCGTAAATCAGCAATGTTCCTATAAGAATTGCCATACATCGGGTACAAGGTATACCCAATTTTAGGACACAGCCACATGTGAGTCAAAAGACAACTGGAACCAGCCATGGCAATATCCAGCTCCATGGCACAGCAGTATATCCTCAGGTTGGTTCATCACCATCCAAACTTTAGGTGGGTAGATTCCCCCCATGCCCCATCTCACCTTTCTGAGTGCAGTTTCAACATGTTCAACCCTTCAGCCAACTTCAACCCATCCTAGAAATATAATTCAATATAATTCAATAATTTTCAACCGGGATCATCGTCCCGTTTTCATGATTAAGAGTCAAGCACGTAAAATTTTGGAGCACCAACAGGCCTGTGGTTGACCCGACCTTCAGCTCCTTACAGGGCCACATATCCCCATTTTATGGCCGCATATGGCCGCTGAAGTTCCCCTGAGCTCACCTGCATTTGTCTGGAAATCGATGCAACTAATCCAAAATCATCCTAAATCCGCTGCTTTGCCTTAATTGACCGTCATTTTCTATCATCTTCCATCTTCCATTATCTATGAACAAGTGCCATTTTTTCTGAGGCTGCAGGAACCCCGGTACCCCAAGCAGCTCCTTTCGGGTGTACTTCTTGAAGAGTCGGGTGCGCCTGATTGACTTGCTGCTACGGCAGGTGTTGGCAGGAGTCATCAGATCCAAGTCTTCCTTGGAGCGATCCAGGACTGCCAGGACCCCCCACAAAACAAATACACATGGTCACATGGCCTCTGATAAAGTGGCACTTTGCTATGCGATATCACCATATATCACCATCTTAATAGGTAAATCCTGGTAAATCATGGTAAATCATGGTAAATCCATGGTAACTCAGCTATAAAGTGGCCATGTTCCATAGCAAAGTATGCGGACAAAATATCCGCAGCGCAGCTTGATCTCCATAGATTCCCCGCAAATCCAAGCTTCCCCTGCATCGTGACCCACAGCGGCCTGCCGAGATAGTAGGATTTCTATAAAAAAACGGGATAACAGTGGGATGATGATATCATCAATAATTCTGGTATAGAATCAACCATTCCCAAATGGGGCTTATTCTTGAATGTAGCCCTAGGGTGATGCAATATGATCTGCAAATGGTCTTTGTTAATGGGAAATGGGGTTTAATGGGATGGTTCATTATTGGGTTTACCTCATTATTGAATACTGTATTCACTGCCGTTACAGCTTTCGGATTTTTGCCGTGTCCAAACCTCCAAGGTTCACAGTTTATTGACAACTGACTAACTGGGATGCACTGGTTCTATCAGGCAGGAATGGTGACCCAAATTTTGGGAAGTTCAGCAACTTAAGATAGTTTCACCATGTTTTACCTGGCAAATTGTCCAAAGGCCTTTTTGGATTGCCATTGATATTCCTTGGCGCCAAAAATCTGATCCTGTAAAATGTTGCGCAAACAAATGCTGGTGAGGTTCATCTCCCATCGCCCCCTCCGGGAGTTCAGCATCTTGCTGAAGGCGAGCCAAGGGCAGCTTGGCAGTTCAAAGATTGAAGCAGTGTGTTTTTTACTTTTCGACGGATTTCTTTTCCATCGACACGTCAACCCGCCCGACTTTCTGGATTTTTCTTACAGTTTAACTTATTCGTTGCACAAGTTGTCATTCAATCCAGTCAGTTGCATATCTTAAATCCCCACACCCATCCAAGTGGTTTTCCATTGACTTGACATGTTTGCTAAGATTTCTTTTTTGGACGATTTTTTCAGTATATCCCCAGCCTACTCACTAGACCGAAAAATGAGCTACCGATCCAAATTCTCAGCAATGAGTACTAAAACTAGCGACTTAACTTTAGCCACAGTATTTCATTCAATTTTCCTGTGGTTAGAACAATTTTTTACCATCCCCCAAATCACCATTTTTATAGGTGATAATTTTCCATTCTGTGGTTAGAACATTTTTTTACCATCCCCCAAATCACCATTTTTATAGGTGATAATTTTCCATTCTGTGGTTAGAACAATTTTTTACCATCCCCCAAATCACCATTTTTATAGGTGATAATTTTCCATTCTGTGGTTAGAACATTTTTTTACCATCCCCCAAATCACCATTTTTATAGGTGATTTAGAACAATCTAAACCATTCCCATGTGTGGTTTATGGCATTGCTTTACCCACATGACTTACCGGGGCCCCCCGGGGTGGTGACCTTCGCTCCCAGCAGGAGGCCCACCGTGGCGGAGTGCCCGTTCATCAGCGCCAAAGAGAGAGGTGTGCGTTCGAAGGCGTCCTAAGGAATCGCCAAGGATGACCTACCCTGGAATCGCCAAGAGAGAGGTGTACAGTAATGACTAACATAGCGAACTGGAAAATCACCATTTTTAATGGGAAAATCCACTATTTCTATGGCCATTTTCAATAGCAAACTGTTAAATTACCAGAGGGTAAATATCTGTGATCTGCACGATGTGTAAACTAGGAACTGATTTACCATGATATACCTATGCACATACCTATAGAATCCCAAACATTTATAGCTAAGAAGTAAAACAAAACACTTATAATTTAAGTTTCAATGGTTTACAACGGTTTATAGTTACAGTCCATCAAACAGAGTTGTATTAGCTATAAGAGTTCGGCCAGACCTTTGGGAGCACCACCTTCTAGGTGAAGAGTGAATCATGGTCAACACCAGGAAGTTTCCTGTAGATTCTTGTTTTAACAATCCATGGGTTTATGTGCATATGTATATATATATATATTATGTGTGTGTGTGTTTTTTGGCAATGATCCAAATAACCTAAAAAACCCAAATGACCCAGCCTACTAAATCTACCAATCAAAGACTAACCAACCAAAATTGACCATGCAAGACCCTGCAAGACCCTGCGGGGTTCGAAGACGACCTTCAAAAGTTGGCTGTTCTCAGGGTCTATGTTAGTTTAGTTCGGGGGATGGAAAGTCATGTTCATTCCCGTGTATTTTGCAGATTCATTGGTGGTAAACTTCCCTGGGGCGTGGACGCTTGTCACGTTTGGTTACAGGAGGGCATTCCCACTCACATCCCCATGTTTTTTCTTGAATCCCTGTTAGCCACAAAAAAACATGAATTCCCGTTCAACCATTTTGCGTCACCATTCGTTCGTGGTAAACCCAATGCCATAAACTATCCCCCCAAAGAAACAACCAAAATCAAGGCAGTCATTGTACACCGTCCCATTGCTGAAGGCATACCCAATTTCATAAACCTCGTTGAAAATGATTTATTCTATAGTTATCTCATTATTCTTCATGTTTATACCCACTATTATCCATATTGGTCCCAATATTATACCATTAGTAGTCTAGTATATCCCAGTATTATAGGGTTTACCACATTGTTGATTATGAACCATGAATAAATGATGACAGCTGACTACTGCTGATTATTTCGTAACTGTTGGTGATCAAATATATATATATAAATATATATATATATAAAGGGTTTACCTTACCTTTACCACATTAAAATCCCTAAGAAATAACATAGGGGAAAACAGCATTATAATCACCATTTTCACTGGTAAGGCACCACATCCATATTATTCACTGTTAAGCCATCATTTGTTGTTGGTTAAATCCTTTTTTATCACCGTCAAAAATCACAACTTTCACTGTTAAAACCACCATTTCGTGGTTAAATCCCTACCAATAACTCTCAAAATCACATGTTTCACTGTTCAACCATCAGTTTAAACTCTGGTCAGTTAACATGGTTGTTTATAAAACTGCCCAACATTGCACATTTAGAAATGATACACCTATCAAACATGGTGCTTTAAACCCCCATTTAGCCCCACTCCAATCCCAATATATCCCACCACTATGTCCCATTCCATTATCACAGATCTATTACCATTTGGTTATTTAACATAGCCATGGAAAATCACAATTTTTAATGGGTAAACCATCCATAAATGGGTCATTTCCCATGGCTATGTTAAATAACCAGAGGGTATATCCCATTACTATGTCCCATTCCATTATCACAGATCTATTAATCATCAACATTACTATCCCATTGATCCCATCAAGATAGACATAATGTTGATGATGAATAATTAGATATGTGATCAGGGCATATAGAATAAATGCGAGTAAAACACAAATAAATCATCCCGCATTTTCACTATATATAGGTGGTATGTGTACCATTTCCCAGTCATGGGTGGTAAAAATGGCATTGCTTTTACCCACATCATATCCATTGTCATGATTATCAACAACGTTTGGCCCGAGGGAAAAAAATCCGCCGGAAACCATGAAGTTTCCCATGTAAAATGGAGGGTTTCTCTATATAAATTGATCCCTTTAACCAATCCATTGAGATTCAGGTACCCTCAAGCCTATCATCTATCAAGGCACCACCGAAAGTGGGCCAATGAATATTCCATCCGTATCGCCCATTAATGATTATACCAATGATATATCAATGATATATCATGATTATCCCATTAATATAGGAATAAATATATATATATTGATATATATATATACATATTTATATATATAAATAATTATTGATATATCGATATATCACCCATTCAATCCCTATATTTGATTATATCGATGATATATCAATGAATATAGGAGCCATCAATCCCAGCGGTCCTGCGTGGTGATGTTCACCTCCGCCTTCCCCGCCAGCAGTGCCGCGGCTGCCTCTGCGTGCCCCGTCCAGGCGGCCACGTGCAATGAGGCCGCACCCGTGGAGGTTCTGCGGCCGTGGAAGTTCACCCAGGATGGCAAGAAATATAGATAGTTAGATTGGAACAGATTAGATTAGATTAGATGAGATGAGATAGATAGATAGATAGACAGATAGATAGATAGAGTAATGAACAACCTCTATGGTGATTATAACCTTAATATCTCATTACACATACTCCGATAAACTTTGTTCCACAGTTATAGTTATAGTTTTTTTTTTTTAAGTACTTATACTGTAATAACAAGCATCATTGGGGGGTATGACTATTGCAGTACTTCTATCACCAGAGTTAGTACTACGAGTATTTAAGTATAGACATCGTTAACATATTACTTCAATATTCAATAATTTCAAGCATAATAACAAAAAGGTTTTAAATAGAAAAGGTAATCGTATAATATATAATGGTAGCAAAAGGGTTTCTGTCAAACTCCACTTGAAGCATCCAAAGATCCGCAGTTTTCATGGTGTGAACTCCGCCCACTCTTGGTGCTTGAGAATCCGACCTATCTATCCTATAAACTATAATCAAGCCCAGTTGACCCAGGAATTCTGCCCTCGCGGCTTTTTGCATGCCCTGGTCCTTGCTTCCATATCAGCTCTGTACTCAACCAGCAACCGCACAATTTTATCTCTTCCTTGGAACCCCACCACAGCCATTCACGAGTCCTCTCACAGAAAAACTACAGCAACGCAACATATCATCACAATTGCAGGCCCTATCTTATGAATTGCAACAAACTTTTGACATGATCGTACAAAACCATTCCAGTCAGCAATCGGTCGGCGGCCCAGGGCTAGTACTTCCCACGTGAGTAGCTCAACCTCGCCATAAACCTTCTCATACCTTCGAAATTCGAAATCCCTCTAATTAATACAGTATCTCTTTATGACTACAATAATCATACAGCCATGCGAAAAGTTTAGCAGCAAAGCAATCATGCTCACCCTCTGCTCTCGGTATCTCAGTCATTGAATTCCATCACTTTAGGACCGCCCGAGCCTATATTATCCCCATGTTCTTGCTATCAAACCCTCAAATTCTAGTGTCCCCAATCCCAACCCAAGCTTCCAAAGAATATTGGGCTCAAAATGACAGATGTGAATGAAATCACCCTAAACACCAAGAAACATTAAGTCACCTATGGTTACAAACTTGCCAAATTTCCCCGTCCCCACGGTCGCCGCCCGTCCGCACCGTCCGCAGCGTCCAAGCGTCCTTCACTACAGGCGATGGTCAGTGGCCGATGGCCCGGGCGGCCGTAGTACACGGTCTCCGCCTCCAAATGAGCCTTCATGTCCACGATCGCCTGCACTGTGCCGAGGGGGTTTCAATACATGTCATGTGTATATATATATATATATATATATGTGTGTGTGTATGTATGTACGTATGTACGTATGTACGTATGTACGTATGTACGTATGTACGTATGTACGTATGTACGTATGTACGTATGTACGTATGTACGTATGTACGTATGTACGTATGTATGTATGTATGTATGTATGTATGTATGTATGTATAAAGAAATATGTATATATATATATATATATATGTGTGTAAGTATGTATGTATGTATGTATATAAATATATATACACATACATATGTGTATCTATATATACATATGTGTATGATTTTGTATGCATATATATATATATATACCAAATATGACCATTGGAAAAAAGCAGCGAAGATACTTTCATATCATATACTAGATATTACTAGATATGTTTTTCTTCACATACTGATATGTCCTGCTACCCCTGATTATATCATGTCATATCTAGCCGCAATCGCCGTAATCATTATCATGGGGAATAATAGGGGCTAGAAGCTGCTTTTTGGCGTTTTTTTTGCACATTAGAATGAATCACTTTTATAACTATAATTTTCCCAGACAAAAAGCTAAAGCAGACCCATGAAATTCCATCCTTTGTGGCCTGGCTTTGACTGAACATATGGAAAAAACATGATGGTTAATCATCGCGAACTCCCCAAGAAAATTAAAGCTGGAGAAATCCGCCACGCTTAAACAGATCCAAACAAATAGAACAATATGCCATTATGGACTTTGTTGTTCTTTGTGTTTCTGCTGTTTGGAGAGGTTACATAAACTCAAAAACTCTCCAGCAAAATACGGAACATCCATGAATATTCGTGATTTGTAGATCATCTTCCATATGAACAGTGTTCAAAAGCCTCTGCCGGTTCAGAACCGGACTCCCAGTTCATAGATGATGCCAATTGACAATCCCCATTGGATATATAGTCTAACCCCGGAAAAGATCATTAAGCAGCAATCAAGCAACGGAGGTTTTGAACACAGTGGAAACCCCAAGATCGCAGTGCAGTGATGGATTGGATGAATTCAGAATTCGCTTCGAGGCAAATGCAAAAGATTACATAAGGTGAAAGGCGGACTTGGGTCCGACTCAACCGGCAAGTCTGCGCCCAGTCAACTCTGGGGCAAGTCTGCGCCCGTCGTGAGGGCTTGCACCGCTGGTTTCATCAACAGTTCCGCTTGTGCATTGACCATGGATCGAAAAAGGTTCGACAAAGGTTTTGAACACTGCTCATAAGGTCCCCAGTACGTCCCTATTCACTATATCCCAACACTAGATATTATGCCACCCGCCCCAAAAAATGCCTAGTTTGGTGGTAATCAAACATGGCAATGGAAAATCCAACATTTATAGATGATTTATCACATTAAGTCCTCCATTTAGTTCGGGTAGTTTCCAGCCAGCCATGTTTGATGGCAGCAAAGGGTATCCCTGAAAGCCAAGTCTGACTCATTTTACCTTTAGTAATTATCCGCAATAATGTTGTCTAGCCACTAGTGGTATCTTGTCAATAGTAGAAACATTTTTCCGCAACTCCAATTTTTCTCCAATACTAAAAGTCAATTAGCTCTTGCCAAGCCCGTGTTTGGCTTAAGACTGGTGGGGGGGGGGGTCCGGAGGGGGAAACGGAGGGAAGGGGTGGTGCACGGCAAGGTGCTAAAATTTCAAAAATAGGTGCTCAAATTTAAGGAAATAGGTGTTTTTTTGAAGAAACCGGGTCGGGATCCAGTCGGGACCCAGTCGGGACCCAGTCGGGACCCAATCGGGCACCAATTTTTGCATTTTTGGGCACCGCTTTTGGCCAGTCGGGATCCAGTCGGGATCCAGTCGGGATCCAGTCGGGCACCAATTTTCGAATTTTTGGCACCACGTTTGGACCTGTCGGGAAGCAGCCAAAATCACCGAAAAACATGCAAAAACACTGCAAAAATGCTATTTTTTATGAATTTGGCTGCCTCCCGACATTGCCCGACTGGATCCCGACTGGATCCCGACTGGATCCCGACTGGCCAAAAGCGGTGCCCAAAAATGCAAAAATTGGTGCCCGACTGGGTCCCGACGGGATCCTGACTGGATCCATAGATTGGCAAGAACCCACTCCCGCCCCTATTTTTCCCTTCCCAGACCCACCCTTGCCCCTATTTTCCTTTTCCGCGCACCAGCCGTGCACCAATACCCCCCCCCCTCCTGCACCAAAACGGTAAAAGCAGTCTTAAGCCAAACGGGGGTTCTACAAATTAGCTCCGTTTACTTTTAGTATTGCCAAAAGAGTCATGTTCAGACCTTGTCCAGAGGGCATGGCCAATAGTGGACACAACATGGCAATAGTGGAAACGTTTTCCCAACTCCAATTTTTTCTCCAATACTAAAAGTCAATTAGCTCCATTTACTTTTAGTATTGCCAAAAGAGTCAAGTAAAGCAATTCCTTTTCAAAGCAGCCTTCACTTTTGATTAGCAAAAGCTTATATTCCAGAAATCTGATCCAATTACCAAACAACTGATTTCCTTATAAAACCCTTATTAAAAAAAGCAAGAAAACAGGTCCACAAAGGGTACCCCCTTTGCAAGCCCCAGAATAGCAATAACAAACCTGCACCAGGCATGGCAATAGTGGAAACTTTTTTCCGCAACTCCAATTTGGTTGTCCTCCTTCTCCTTCTCCTTCTTCTCCTTCTTCTCCTTCTTCTCTTCCTCCTCCTCGTCCTCCTCCTTCGCCTCCACCACCTCTGCCCCCACTTCCATGATCCCAGCTATAAGGTTCCAAAAAATTACTATTGGAATGCTGACCCCCCCTAATTTTTTAAAAATAATTATGTTATTTAGGGGGGGATTTACTATTAGGCAGCCTACATTAAAGCCAAGTGTTTATTTTTATCATGTTGTATCATTCGTATCCCAAGTCCAAAATGTTGATATTGTATATCTTAGTGTATCAGCACATTACGACATTTTCTGCCCACGTTGGCCCGCCCTAGATGGCCCATTTGTATCTCTAGTCCAAAAGGTCGGTATCCCTAGCTAGGCCCTAGTAGATATGTTATCCACCAGTTAGTAGCTTGTCATCATCCACATTTTGGAGGTTTCCTAAAATGGGGCTACCCCCAAACCATCCAAGTCACTAGACCATCTTAGTATTGAAAGCCATGGTTTTCAGGACCCTCCATTTTAAGAAATCTCCATTTTGAATAATCACCAGTTAGCATGATATCTGACTCATTTTACACATATGTAATCCACAATTCACATCAATTCCCCCAAATTTTGGTCTGTATCCCTCCGGTAATCTAACAATATAGCTATTGAACATGCCGTGCCCCATTAAAATAGATGATTTACCTCTTAAAAGTGGTGATTTTCCATAGTTAACCTTTACCAGCTTGGGTAAATCTCCACTAAATCACCATTCAAAAAGTGGTGAAATTCCATGAGAAATCAGCATTTTTGGTGGCAAAATCTGTCCATTTTTCGTTTACCCAAGGGGGTCCCTCCAACATCCGCCTGAGTGATCTCCGGATGGCCGCGGATGGCCGCCAGATGCAGCGCCGTTTGCCCCGTGGCGGAGCGCAGCTCGATGTCCGCGCGCAGCGCCAGCAGCGCCAAAACCGAGGCCTTCAGGGCTTCAAGGAGACTGTCAGATGGGGACTGACCTGGTGAAACCATCAAAAGTGACTGTAGCTACCAGTGATGGAACCAATTTTGCAACCAAACATGGCGATTTTTCATGGAATTTAGCCGCTATAAATCGTGATTTAGTGGAAATTTACACTCTGGTAGACATACAAAAAACTATGGAAAATGACTGCTATTCATGGGCAAATCAACTATTTCTATGGCCATTTTCAATAGCTATGTTAGTTTACCAGAGGGTACCAGTAATGGAAACAAGTTTGGAAAACTGGGGGGAAACACGAGAAAGAATTGAAACAACTTGGAAAACATGCAAAACATCACAGCAAATTTTGGAGAAAGGCTGGGGCGCAAACTCAACTTTGATGAATTCCGAACAGTTTGAGATGATGTTGGGGAATCATTGGGAACAACATTGAGAGCTCTAGAAAAGGTTGTGGACAATTGAGACAACCATTTCTGGATAAGATACATTGAAAGTGGAAAAGTTGAGAGGCTATGGTTGCACAAGTGAGGAAAAATAAGAACATGGACATCTTTGCTGACAAAAAAACAGTCGAAGCAATGGGAACATCGACCATATCGACCAAGCCGCCACTTGACCACTTTCCACAGCCACACCCAAAGGAGAACGCGAGTCCTGCCGTGCCCAGTGCCGAAGTACAGGTGCGAAAAACGATGTAATTAATATGAGGATAAGACATTAACAAAAAACATCAAAAAACAACATAATCCAACCTTTGTATGAGGAGGTGATAGGGGATTTAATTAACATAACCATCCCCGATGACTCCGGAAAGCATTCCCCGCCTTGGGTTTATGGCATTGTGGGTCTCGCAATTTTGGGCGTTAGCTATACTCTGAAAAGATGCAAATTCACTAGGGGATGATTCAACGGTCCTACCTACCGAGGATTCACCAAGCCATGGCTGATGACAGCACCGGGCTTGCACCACTCCAGTGAGGTCGGTTTCGTTGATCTAGTGAGGTGCTTACAGGGTTTGTTTGACTCGGTAGTTTCATAAAGTGTCCCTATACATACAAACATATATATATATAGTAATGTGGTAAACCATGGTAAACCATGGTAAACCCAAAAAATATGGTTAACATCCCAAAATTGGGATGATTTAAATGGACCTGCCAATGGTTGGTTCATGTTTTATTTAGCGACGCTATGCGTTCTACCACGTTATCCCCATGGCTGCCAAGAGTTCACCTCGTCCAACACGTTGAGATGAGCGAAGTTCGTCATTTGAAGCACTTTGACCATGGCTGCCACCTGGTGGAGACCCAAGGCTCCGATAAAACCCGATGAACAGAGAGGATTTTGTAAAGCTTTCTGAATCAGCAACAAACATCTACCATCATCTACTATTGGTACTATTGGGGTTTTCACCATCCACTGTTGGGTTTAAGGTGTTTCAGCCATGTTGCTGGTGCCTACAGCTTCACCATGAACTCTGAAATTTGCCCTCGCCTGGAGATTCATTCTTGGTAGCCCCAGAAAAAACCCAACTATGCACCAACAATATCTACCATTCTAGATGGGCTATAGTTTTTTTGTCATTGGTGAGTAGGCTATGATTATGTGAGCCAAACCAAAGCTTATTCTAACTGTTTAAAACTTGCAAAAAAAGAACGAAAAAAAAACAAAAAAAACAGGAAAAACTGAACAAAAAACAAATCAGCAAAATCCAAAAAACACAAAAGCAAAATAAGCGGAAAAAAAGGGAAAAACAAGGAAGGACAAAAAGGGGGAAAAATGAAATTGTCCATTTGCATTTTTTTTGCATTTATTTTGCCTTTTAATTTTGCCTTTTTTTTTCCCTTTTTTCCAGGCAAGAAGCAAAAAAAACAAAAAAAATGTAAATCGAAAAACAAAAAAAACAAAATTACTTTACTTCGTGTGATCCCCACCATGACATTTATAGATTTTCTTACTGGCAAATCTTCTGGCATTCTATCTGACATATCCTCTGGCATTCTATCTGGCATTCTATCTGGCATATCTTCTGGCATATCTTGTGGCATTCTATCTGGCATTCTATCTGGCATATCTTCTGGCATTCTATCTGGCCGTTGAGGTCCAGCGGTGCACACTGAGCTGGGAAGGTCCCAGGTTGAGGTCCAGCGGTGCACACTGAGCTGGGAAGGTCCCTGGTTGAGGTCCAGCGGTGCACACTGAGCTGGGCAGCTCCCAGGTTGAGGTCCAGCGGTGCACACTGAGCTGGGAAGGTCCCAGGGTGAGGTCCAGCGGTGCACACTGAGCTGGGAAGTTGGCAAAGAGCTTGGCTAAGAGAGTTGGCAAAGAGCTTGGCCAAGAATTGGCAAGGCGGAAGTGCAGGTGGAAGTTGATGCAGACATGGTCGAGGAGAAACTGGAGGAGGAGGAGGAGGAGGACGAGGACGAGGACGAGGAGGAGGAGGAGGACAGCTAGCCGAGGAGGAGAACAACTCTGATAAAATCTAACAACCCTCACCTGGCAGGTGGGGAAAAAATGCGAATGGACAATTCCATTTTTTTCCCATGTTTTCCCCTTTTTGACGGTGCTTTTTTTCCCCATTTATTTTGCTTCCTGTTTTTTTTCAGTTTTGAAGTTGTGCCTTTTTGATTTTCCATGTGGTTTCCTTTTTTTGTTTTTTTTCAAGTTTAAAACTCATTAGAATAAGCTATAAAGGTGAACATAAGGCATGTACCCATGCAGTTGCAAGCAACTAACAACGATGACCGGTCAGTAGCCTAAGTACCCAGTTGCATGGCCCATTTTTAGATACCCTGCAACAAATATCAGCAAATATTGTGTAGCTGGATGTAGCTGGATGTAGCTGGTTAGTAGACGTCCCATGCAAAACCGTTCTAAGTTTCCCCAGATTCTACCCCAGATTCTACCCCAACGTTTCTGGCACCCTATCCTGATCTCCTTTGAAAACAAACAAACACAGTCAAAAACCAAAAGCAAACTGTGAAAGCAGCATATTTGTTTGTTTCCAATATTCTTCAAACGTGTATCTCCAATAAAAGACCCTTCAAAAACCTCTGAACAGAAAAAAAACAAACAAACAAAACTTATATGTATACAATTTTCCTTCACATAAAGAGAACACTAAAAAGAACTATGTCTGTTGCATTTACCGATGATTTTCCTGTTTAACTACCTATATATGTTTCCATGATATTCAAGGATTTTTACATGACGTGTCCTATGATTTTACTCTCTTTTTCCATGATTTCCAATGTTTTGCCAATTTTCTCCTGCATTTTTTCCATAATTCTTCCACTTCAATGGATGTTCCATTGTTTTTCCTAAAAAAATCTTGATTTTCCATGGTTTATCCCGTGGATTTCTGGATTTTCCATGGTTTTTCCCAAATTCTCGGGGCCTGCGACTTGGCGGCCGCCACGTGCGTCACGCTGCGGCCCCGGATGTTGCGCCAGGTGAGCAGCTCGGAGGGCGAGGCGCGCTGGATGCGCTCCAAATCACCTGGCTGTCCATGGTAAAAACATATGATAAATTTACTATATGGGACTATGGTATATATATATAGTCTATAGTCTATAGATTATAAACACTATTTGGGATAATCAACACTATTTGGTATATCATAAGATTATAGTCTATAGTCTATGGTATGTATATATATATATATGTGGATATGGTATGTATATATATATGGGATGGTAAATCTATGGGATGGTAAATCTATGGGATATATAACCATGGATATTTGCCATACTGCGCAAGGTATTATTTTCAGATAACTATAGAGATTATATCTCTCTGATATTTTATATGCCATATTATTTGATATCTTAACATTAAGGTAGCTATGATATAAATTAACATCTATCATAACAAAATCTATGACCAAATAACCATTGCAAAATCTATGATAATGAAACTACCTAACATAGCATCTATGATAAATGTTTACATAAGCATAGACATGTATTTATTTTTAATGGTATTTATTGGATATTAATACATAATCAATGTTACGAAAGCTACCATGGAATACTTGATGGATAGTGTGATATTTAGATGGTAGCTATAGTATCATTACTACAGTCATATATGGTAATAGCTTATGGTAACTATTACTTTAGTAAATGTGATATTTATATTAATATGATTTAGCTTATCAATTATATGATTGATATATATATATATATATATATACATATGTGTATAATCATAGGGACTAATTTGATGTGGGTAAAACAATGCCATACACCACCCATTTGGGAATGTTAAACATACCACCCATTTATGGTGATTTGGGGGGTTGTAAATGATTAAATCAATAATATGGTTGCTATGATTATGATATTATCACAAACCATAATCATGGATAATATGGTATTAAATTGGAATAATCTATGGTATATGGATCTATATATATATATACCCATAGGTATTTATTTAATGGTATTTATTAGATATTAATACATCAACATAATCAATGTTACCGTTCATATCACCATTTTATGATCTATATTAACATGATATTTAATGTTTAATGTGAATTTAAATGGTAGTTATAGTTACTATAATAATACAATGTTTATATAGCTTGAATGGTAAGTAAGAAAATGATAAAACATAATTATCATCCCATCATAAGGTAGATATTACCTTAGTAAATGTGATATTTAATGGTAACTATATGGTTATGATTAGTGATTCTGATATGGCTACAAGATGATTATGCAAGTGTTATACTATGATTCTATGCTTAAACAGAGTTAGATCATATTCATGATGATTCATGTGCATTATCGAATCTGCTATATTGGATTTGTGTTGGTTTGTGATTAATAACCAACCTGGAGATTATATGGAGATTATATGAAGGATATGAGTATATGGAAACTATATTAATTATCTGGTTAAAAAATGGTGAATATGGATTATAATGGCAACTATATGTAATATGAGCCTATGATTATCTGACTAGATTCAAACTGTGGATGGACAAGCCATCCTGCACCAGTTGGTATTTTTTGACAACTAAGAAACACGTTAAATAACGGGACGGTCATCCCACCAGCCACCAACTGGTGAAAACAAACTCTTCCATCCACAGTAAGATTGTTTTGAATGGTAATTAAATGATTATATGATGTGATTATGTGGTATTATCATCTTGGAAAATACATAAATGGTACCCTGGGGTAAACTTACATAGGTATTCACAAAAAAAACATATTGAATAACATGATCTACACATGCAGTTTTTTTTGTTGCGTCTATAGCGTCATTTGAATTTGCCCTGGAGGACATTCATGTAATTTTCATGATCCTTGTAGCTGATTGTTAGTTCTAGTTCGGTGGTCGTTTCTTGCTGAATCATCCACACAAACGGGTGTAGCAGCTTGGGGTTCCTGGTTACTATCGACTGGTTCAATGGTCATTTTCCCTATGAAAATTTGTGATTTTGATATACCGGAATATGGTATGCCCTTCAGTCACCCACAGATGTTGGTTATAGCGTCTTGGGTGCCGCAATCACAAGGAGGCAAAAATTCCGGGCCTGGGGCGTTCTGATCATCAGCAAAGAAAACAACTTTTGCAGAAATCATATCATTGTTCCACCTGCTATGCATGAAACTTCTCCGCACCAAAAACACATGGACTCCGTTTCTTGGAGCTCCATACATGGGTATCAATACCTATTAATACCATGTTTAGGGTGATGAACATCCATTTACCAGCTATTTTGGGGTTCACTAGGTACCAGGGTTTTGACCCATCCCCACATGGCAGCAGTGTTTCGCACATATGTTCCAAAGTTTCGAATTGCAAAAACAGCAAATGATTCCAAGTGTTCAAAAACTCCTAATGTGAGTAATGGAATGATAAACCATCCATTTTTCCCCATGCGTATGTCTGTCTCTGGCATCCGCTGTCTGTATTTGCGGATATCAAGGTGCACGTTGAAGCTACAGCGGTGAAATGGGACTTCTTGGCCCTCATGTCTTGAGCTTTGTTGTCTTCGCTGGGCCTGTCACAAAAAGTTGGTGGATGACAACCCGAAGGTGGGTTGAGAAACCACGTTTTGCAACTCTCCGGCCTCATGAAGGTAGGCTTAGTGCAAAGGCAGTTGCACCCGCAAGCAGTGGCAGGTGATTCATCAACGTGTTTGCGGTGGCCAATACAACGCGAAGAATGCCCTGCAAGGCGGCATGAGTGGGTTCAAACACGAGCTATCCTAGACCATGACGGTGACGCAAACGACTCACTCCATTTCAATCCAAGTCAAGTGTGTTCTCGAAGATGCCTCATGCGAAGCCTCCGAAGCCAGCGTAGGTTCCGATTGCTTCTGCCTTCACGGCACTGGTGAGGGTTCCGAAGCCACTTGAGATGACGAGTGCGAGGAAGAGTGTAGCCATAGCCAGCACTATAGCAAGCACTATAGCCAGCACTATAGCCAGCACTATAGCCCCTTTCATCGGCTCGGACCATGGCATTGCCCTGTCCGCTTGGGAATGGGTGCTTGATGGTGCTTGAGCCTGTTTGCGTTCATGATGTCTATCCTGGAGAACAAAGCCTCATCAAATCGGCAATTGCAATACCTACATCCAACCAAAGCTCCAAGAGCAACAACAAATCATCACCCTTACTCAAACCAAACAATGACGTGAAAGTTCGGGGCAAAATTGTCCCACAATCCCCACCACATAAAACATCAAAGGTAAAGATTAAACATTGAACATCAACATAAAAACCATAACAACCGACAATGAATGCTGGGATGTCCCAGCATCCCCCTTTTACCATTTTTTCCCTTAGTTTTCCAGGTTTTTCCACAACCTTCCGAGCGATTTGATCAAAATGTCACCTGCCACAGCTGCGGCCATCAGTTCTGAGCGTTCCATTGCTTGACGCGCCAACTTGCGCACATTTCCTGGGCCAGGTGGAAGGGACGCCGGGATTCTTGGTTCAAATGGTGCAGTGGATGGTTGCGAAATCCACCAGTTGATAGGTGGTAAAATTTAGGATGGGTTTCAACCCTCAGGATTTCTTCCATCCACAGTATGGTAAATAAATATTTTTTTGGGGGGGATATGTGACATCATATGATGTCAAATTATGACGCAGAAAATCCATTGTTGCATGGTTTGAAATCTGCATGGGTCACAAGCGCGTACCCAAAAGAAGGAAATCAATAGTTTAAAACTGCTGATAAATTCTTCCCAGATGCTGTTTTTGAACTTTACTTTAGAACCTAATGCATAATGTCATGTGCTATCATGTCCAATCAGAACTTCGAAAAATCGAAAACACTCATTCCCTAAAGTTGGATTGGAACACAATGCTAGTTCAAAATGGTTGCCTGGAAATTCACATCAGAAAGTCCTTCGTAGAAAACAAGTCGTCTTGGACATTGGCAGCGATGTTTCCCAGAATATATACACATATATATATATATATATTGATGATTCTGTCTTCACCCATTCTGAGCCGGATGAAATCCATCTTCTGACCTCATGTTTGTTGCGTTTTCCAGGTTTTTGTTGGATCGAACCATCGGGGATCTCCACATATCTCCACCAGGGAGCTGTTGAGGGCAAAAATGCCTCCAGCTTGCCTGTGGATGTAGGACAGTATCTCATCCTTATCCTTTTTGTTGGAGGCTTTGCACGCCTGCAGGGGGAAACTCAGAGGGATTTCCTGAATTCCGAATCCTGAAAACGGACAAACAACGTCCTTTCGCTTAAAATGACAGGGTTTATGTGTTATCCCATTTGCATCCCTTTAACATATGGTTGTGGAAATGATGGTTATCAGCCGCGAGTCGGAATCTCCTACTTTTGATGAACATGTCAAAGTCGGGTCTGCCCAGTAAGATACCAATCCAAACATTCGATTGTTTCAAAACAAATCATTATGGTTTAAACTAGACGACGGGTGGCCCGAGAGCGTAGAGGAGCAGAGTCTTCTGTTGTTAGTATGGAGACACTATATTACAAGATAATATGATAAAGATGTATTATAGGCAGACGAGAAGAGTAGTATCAAGACAATATATGACTAGTACAAGACAATAGTTTGCATCGTATTTTTGTAAAGTTTTTCATACACAGAACTTTTTACAGACAGACGCGTTTGCACACAGAGACTTTTACACACAGACGCTTTTACACACAGACGATTTTGCATACAGAGACTTTTACACCCAAACACTTTTACACACAGAGACTTTTACATACACAGACGCTTTTACACACAGAAGCTTTTACACACAGACGCTTTTACACACAGACGCTTTTACACACAGAAGCTTTTACACACAGACGCTTTTACACACAGACCCTTTTACACACAGACGCTTTTACCCACAGACGCTTTCTACACACAGGGGCTTTTACACACAGACGCTTTTACACACAGACACTTTTACACACAGACGCTTTTACACACAGACGCTTTTACACACAGACGCTTTTACACACAGAAGCTTTTACACACAGACTCTTTTACACACAGACGCTTTTACACACAGACGCTTTTACACACAGAAGCTTTTACACACAGACTCCTTTACACACAGACGCTTTTACACACAGAAGCTTTTACACACAGACGCTTTTACACACAGACGCTTTTACACACAGACGCTTTTACACACA